GCCTAAAGTTTTGAAAAAATATGACTGTAGTACCAAAAATGTTATCATGTTCTAAGTTTTCTAAAATAAATTAGTTGTTCTTGATTTAAGCAAGAATCTCGCTTTTAGAAAATATTTTATATTGGAAACAGTTTTGCAGGCGATCTGTTTTGGGGTTTTACAAAGGAATACATGGATTTAATGCATAAAAAGTTGTATTTCCTGCTATTCTTTACATTTTAGTTTTCTGGTGCTGATAAACTAATAAAAAGCAAATTTCTTAATATCAAATATAATATTGATAGTGATGCATTTGAATATGATTTGATGAGCTTTGCGGTTTAAAATGATATCAGTGCACCACAACACACACTTATACACACACACTAAATAATTCACGTCAAAATGTCCTGCACTAGGGCTGCAACTATTCAGTCATTTTCTTGACATTTCGACTTTTTTTCTCCACAAGCTAAAGATATTCATTTCACTGTCATAGGGGACTGAGGAAACCTGAAAATATTCGCCTCTGAAAAGCTGAAATCAGAGAATTTGGATTTTTATTCTAAATAATTAATTGACTGTCAAAATAGTTGCCAATTAATTTAATGGTTGACAAGTAATTGATTAATGGAGCTCTATCTTGAAGCTTACTGTACAGCTTCCACTTGATTAAGTAAATAATGAATAAATGCCAAAATTAGACTGTTGTAGCAGAAAGGTGATTTTTTTTTTATGTGGGGCAGGAGGATGTAAAAGAGAACAGGAGAACATGTCAGCCTTTTTAGAACATGACCTCTGTGGCTCCATATGGGACCGAAACCTCTATTAACAAATGAGAATAATTGTGTGTGTGTGTGTGTGTGTGTAGTTTTTGTTAATGTTGGCAGTAATGAAGTGTATTGTTGGACTGAGTGAATAAAGTGCTGGTAAACTGGCTCAAATTGACTCAGAAGCACCAAACTTCTACTCGAGTAGAAGAAGTACATTAGTACATACACTACACACATGCACATGAACACATACATATACTTATACCGGTATACACATAAGCACATTTTAAGTTTTCTCACCCACCACTTAAGGGCTTACTTTAACAATGTGGTCCGTGTGTGTGTGGGGACATTTAATCTGCATGTGACCATTATATTCAGAGGCAACTAATTTGCATTGGCTAATATGTTTAGCAGGAAATGCTTGCATTACACATGTTTACATTATACATGTTTTACAGCACGGCGGGATGAAGTGTTGAAAGGTTTTAGGTAAATTGAACAAAATAGAAAACATTAAAACAATCTTCTCCTCTCTGTTTGTAAGGACATTTTCTGGTGTTTGACAATTTTATACTATTATAAGTAATATTGAGCTCTTAGTGACTTTGGTTCATCTTGTTCTGCACAGTATTTCTTCAATGATTTGTTTTGGCATTTAGTTCTTTTCTTATCTTAGTGGGTTTCATCTAGCAGTGTAGTTGCAGATTGCAGCTCACTGGCTTCAAAAACATTGTACATTATATCCTATCTCTGCCAATAGATCCTCCTAAATGTTACACACTGGCCTTTATGTCACAACCACAGAAATAATCTTGGCAGCGTGGCCATACATGTTTCTGTTTGCATATCAGCTCCACTTGCCATTTACGTCTTGTGTTTTTTTTGTCTGTTTCATCGCTGTGTGTCTTCTGGTCCTGCATGTTGCAGATTTGGTACACGCATGATCCACTGTGATAAACTGCATCGTGTCACTGCACAGGGAGGGTATCTAAAGTTCAGCAGGGCACAGCCACACCTCATCTGTTGTGGTTTTTGAAGTTATCGTCATCACAGAGCCTGCAGACAGATCAGAAGTTGAAAAGCTCTTTGTTCAGATGTTTTTAACCTAAAATAAAAACTGATAAGGTTTTTACCTTAACATGCTCAGCTCGTGTTAAAACGCAACATGCGCTCTTTGGGTCTGTGAAGTATTTAAATGTAGTATGCAAACTCTCTAATTCTTCTTGGGAAACTCATGTAGTCTTTATGATGCCTGCAGTGACTCTTACAGCTAACTGGCACTCAGTTAACACATCCTTGGTTTTATGGCCTGATGACAGAAAAATTTGTTTTTAGTTTCCTCTGAGGTCCTTTGAAATAAAATGTGACAACAGCAGAAATGTTAAAAATGTTTCTGTCTAGGGACTGATAAGATATCTTACTGCTGTTATGCATGTTGTGTGAAAACACCATTCCAAATTTTCCCTTTAGTTTAATTGTTTTACCTCTTCTCTCCACACTTTGTTTAAGCAGGTTTAAAGAGAAGCAAGTGCACAAAACCTGAACCAGGGTGTTTACTTCGCTCAGCCTATTCGCTGACGCCCGGAGCAGGTCAGGATATCTTCATTGGGAAAATCTGAAACAACCTGCTGTTCACCCATTCTCAATGTTTCTAGTTAGGTGGCAGTGTCATCAGGATGACCACTACACTTTTGTTGTGCGGTTGCTTTTAGCAGCTAATGTACTGCTTCTACACCTGACACAGCTACACAAATCCCAAAATCCTAATAAAGGTGGCAGAGTCACCAATAAAAATTTAACAGATTTTTCCACATTTGCTATAATTAAAATGTATTCATTACCAAGTAGTGCTGCCATGTATGCAAGCTTCAGCCAGTCCAGGCATTTCCAGCTTCTACTGTACACAGTTTGCTGCAATGGGGATTGAAACAGAGCAAGCTGACTGTGTGATGTTATTTTTATGATACTTTTCTTCTGTTCCTCCTCAATATAAACATTGTTGCGCACAACCTCACCAGACATACTGTACAGACAGTATATAGAGGCTGAAAGAGTGTTAAAGTATGAGGGTGAGACTGAACCCAAATAGATCCAATAAATCCGTAAATGTGATGTCCTAATATGGTTTGTTGTGCTGCTCTTTGGACTGAAAAAAAAAAAAAAAAGAAACAGAAAAAAAAATTCCTTTTCAGAAAAGTCTTGGAAAATCACCCAGAGCTCTGCTTGTTGACACAATTTGGGCATTCTGCATGCAGTGTTTGTAGACAGGATTTTGCTATAAAGTGACCCCAGAGACCAGACTTTGGGATTGCAGTTTGATAGTTGGAATAGATGTTTTTTTTTTTAAATCTTTTTATTGTTTTAGCCATAAACTGTTCTTTCAACAACAACTAAATTCACCTGAGGAAATAAAAATAATCATCTGCCACCACATCTTTTAACAGTTGTCACCTCCAAGGTTTCTTTTTAAAGACAAATTGTCATTCAATAAAACCTATTACCCTCACATGGAGCATCTGCAAACCTCCATGTTTGGTGGCTGGACTCCAGACACGTAGTATCTTCTTCTGTTTGCGAAGTTCAGATTAAATTTTGCTCAATAGGCCTTGCTCAATCCAAATCAAAATGAACAAGCAAACACACGAAACTGGACTCAGCAGTGCCACGAGTCACCTGAGTTAGGATCATATCTTTAAATACTATTTGTTTTATTTTGTTAATGGCCGATATTTCTGCTGAATAAAATGTATTAGAGCTGAAAGAAACAGAGAAATGATTTCCAAAGTAGTAAACACACTTAAATTCACAATGCACCTGAGTGTTATATTGGAACAGCTTAGCAAAGGGAGGTAAAAATTATTATTTTTAAAGGGCTTGGACAATAATAGTATAGAGGGATGTGGTAGAATTCATATTTCCATACTGCCAGAAGGCTCATATATGTTTTATAAATGCATTACTGGGAATATAATTTTTTTTTAAATGTGGTATTTTTCAGAAATGTAGGCCTAATACTGAGCAAATATCTTGCTAAAGTGTATCTTAATTACCGGCAAACAGCGGCAGCGCAGTGACTCGGAGGCTACAGAATAACCTCATAGAGAACACAGCACTTCCCTGTGTTTATTCTGAAAAGCTTTTTGTCTTTTAACTTGTGGGTGAACCTCAGTGAAACTAAATGTGAGGCCGTGGACTGTCACACTTGGTGCTTGTTGTATCACATGAGGATTTATGATATTGGGTTCTAAACGCTGTGGTTTGCCAGCAGCACTTTTTACATTGTCGAACGGGAAAGACCCCGAACAGTGAGGGCAGTTATACAAGAATTATTGGTGCAGTATGATAGTATGATTATTATAGTGGTGGAAGGTAACTAACTGCATTTACTAGGGCTGCCCTGTCGTTAGAGAAAGCCAATAGTCGACTAGTCATCACACATTTATCATATATCCAACTTCACTAAAAAAAATACTTGCAGACTTCTCGATACGATGGATGATGTATAACAGGTAAATTAAAAGGTAAATTAAGAGTCATAGTCCTGTTCGGAACCGTTGTAAATCAGCTGGCCTATGTTGTTCCCCCATCCCAGTGACAAGGTGTCATTTGTCTGAAAGTTTTAGTAGTCTAGCACCTTAGTTTTGGATAACACGTTGCAAAGTACGCATTATTGTTATCATATTACATTTGTGTGTAACACAAATCAATTATGTCGCTACTTGCATTACATAAGTTCTTCAGTTATCTGCATCATGGAAAAAAAATCAAACGTGCCTTTCATGCACAATTGCGCAACAATCACCTGAGTGACTTCCTTGTTTTCGGCGATCAAGTCACGGTCTATGATGGAGATCTTGAACTGTTCCCCTGGTTTTCTGACAAACCATTTGAGAGACTCCTCCTTATGATGCATAACCACTCCCTTTTCCGAGTAATGACCCCAAGGCATTTTACATAGAAAAACACATGATTATGGTGCAGTCCTAATAGTACTAATCTATCCAGTAGTGTACAAAGTGTCAATAATTACAA